TCCACATTCTTTACATTCATATGGTTTCTCACCTGTGTGAATTCTCTGATGCCTGCAGAGGAGTGACTTATGCTTAAAAGTTTTTCCACATTCTCTACATTCATATGGTTTCTCACATGTGTGAATTTTCTCATGCCTGCTAAAATCTGACTTTTGGTTAAAAGCATTTCCACTTTCTTTACATTTATATGGTTTCTCAACTGTGTGAGTTCTGGGATGAAGGCTGAGGCTTGACTTTTGGTTAAAAGTTTTGCCACATTCTTTACATTCATACTGTTTCTCACTTGTGGGAATTCTCTCATTCCTGCTGAGGTCTGACTTTTGGTTAAAAGCTTTTCCACATTCTTTACATTCATGTGGTTTCTCACCTGAGAGAGTTCTCTGATATGAAATGTAGATCTCTCCTGTGTGCATAATCTGATGTTTAGTGAGTTCAAATTTTTTATAGAACATTTTCCCACATATACCACATTGAAAAGTTTTCCTTTCTACCTGATTTATTTCTGGAGCAATGACAGCTGACTTACCACAGCCTTTCCCATATTCATTATACTTACAGGTAATCCCATCCATATGAGTCTTTCTATGTATAAATATTATTGGCTCTGTGTTGGAGGATTTCCATTTTCCACTGTATTCTAAAGGCTGCTTTCCAGTTTCAATATTGAGATGCTGACTCAGATGCTCATGTCTGGGCAATTTTCCCGTTATAAGATGGTCATCATGTTTCTTTCCAGCAGGCATCTCATCAGGCTCTCGAAGAGGAAGTGCATTCTGACATATGTAAAACTCCTCATGTCCCTTTCCTGAATACTTTCCATTATTTATAATCAGATTTAAAACATGGTATGAATTCAAATAAGATTTTCCTAACACAACTCTCTCCTCAGCTGATGTGTTGCTGTTGCTATTGGTGATTACAATTTGCTGCAAGCATTTACTGTGACTTTCTTGGTTCCTCTTCACTAGGTCATCATCTATCTGGACATCTGAAATTACAAAAAAATAACTATCTGAACCACACATAAGCACATCTCATTGATTGCTCAAGTAAATGTACAGAAATGTCTTAGAATGCTAGTAACAAAAGATTTTATAAAAAATCCAATAATAGACATTGGTTTCAGGAGTTTATGGAATTTTTTCTTACTGATGATGTAATATTATACTAATATATTTTCTAATGTTATATCATGTTTTCTTTCCTTCTTTGTTCATTTTAAATCTTATGAGGATTTGTTAAGAATTTTTATTTTTTGCCTCCCTCTAGTTTTCAACTAAACACCTTTCATTTCTTTACAGCATTTTCTCTGTTTTATTTTTACAACAATGGGTGTCTCCTGCTGCTATTTTCTCATGATTTCACTAAGACTATGGCTAGGTTTGGTTTTCTTTCATCAGCTACTTTTAGGTACAGAAGCGAGCCAATTTTTTTTT